TTGTTGTTCGAGTCTATAAAATATATGATAAAAAATTAATAATTTTATGTTAATTGTTAAACATTGTATCACAACTCACTTAACACTGAGTTTATGAGTTAGATTCGGTCGATTAGGGTTATAATATATTATTGCTGTTAACTATAAGTTTGAATAAACATATTTTATATAATATCTTGGTTATAATTAAATATTAATTACCAGGTTAATTGCAATATAATCATCATAATTCCAACATGATAACAAATTCAGCATTGTTGATTTAACCAATTTGGTAAATGTATGATCTGGAAATACCATCACATTCATATTGATCTGAACAGATTTATCATCATTCTATATCATTATATTATAATGATATTATTATAATATTATGTTCAGGTTATTCAGTAATATGTGGTTAAATAATATATAGTATGTAATCCACTCACTAAAGGCACATAGAAATTATGGGTCAATTTATCGTAAAACCTAAAGCCCTGGATAGACGTCAACTCATTGAAGCCATACTTCATTAGTGTCACCCTATCCTCAGCGCAAACTGAGTTATATCCGGACAGAGATTTAGTGAAATTGACCATGTCCATTATTAGACACTCTTGCTTTGCGCTACAGTTTATGACCATTTCTGTAAAGGTGTTTATTTTTATGACAACATTATTAGGCATTTTGTAGTCAAACACAACGGCAGCGCTCGTCAGCTCTGATATCCTATTGTTTTCCAATTCATTCAAACCGTTATAATCCGTGATTTCCCTAAACATGGGAACAATTGCTGTATTGTTTTCATTGATTTCTAGCAAATCCCCTTCTAATGTAATATCTGTAATACTGTTTCCAATGTCTGTCACTTCATTCAAATTAACATCAATTGAATTGTTGAGCAATTTATCCAAAATGTCTTTCTCTGTGTTTCCATCAAAAACAGTTAAATCATTTGATGAGTTCGTAGAGGAAGGCATCAAAATATTGGTGAAATTATTACATTCTTTACGTTTCAATTTATTTAATTTATTTTCTTGCATCGCTTTCTTTCTCCTCTCATTTTGTTCATCACTTCTGATAAATTCCTATTAAAAATCAAATATTTATTACTACTTATTAATTGTAAAATTAAACACAAAAAATAAATACTCGTCTCATCCCAACGCCTAAACACTTCTGGAGCCGACATTTTTTGCATAAGTTTCTCGTCAATGGGTTTATAATGCAATCACCATTTGATCGACAACTCCATGGCTTACAACATAATAAAGTAATTATAAGTATATAAAGTATTAACAAACTTTACTTAAATTAAAATTATTTAAAAACCTTATTCTTGAGTCCATGGCGTCTAAAAAATGATTTACACGATTCACACGTTATAACAGTAAAATTTCTGCCTAAATAACATTCATGTTTTTAATTTATAATTAATTTAATAAATGATAAACAATTTAATACCGAATCCTTTATCGCCGCAAACTCTGCACAATTCATGTGATTTCTTATCATTTAATTCACTATTCATTGTAGTATTAATTGTTTATTATATTTATAATTTATGTTATAATTAAATGTAAACATGTTAAAACATATTGCACTTGTTTTCATGTTTATTACAAAATTTTATATATAACAACACTCAAGAGATATAATGATAAGTATTTTATTACAAAGTCCAATTCAATGGCATAATTAATGCGGTTATGAACATTTAAAAATCTAATGTAATAAATCTTACTGTTTATAAAATGACAATTTTATAACTATCAATAGACATCAATTATTTATCAATTTATTAATAAATATCCAAATGACATTTATGATTGAATTTAAAAATATATCATACAGTATATTTTTATATCAGAATTATAGACTAAATATTTCGTTTACAAGTGGACCTAGATGGTGTTTATTTTCCCTGTATACTTGTGTAGCCACCCTCATTTGCAATTCATTATATAGATTTAAATCTTTCAATGAAAACATTAGTTTTTGTAGTTTTATTCCCGATTCCGAGCGGTATTTCAATAGTAGATATCTTTGCAGTAAATATATACAGTTGTTGTTCGAGTCTAACAAACAATAATAATTTTGAACAAATCAATTTAGTTATAGTTAATTAATTGCAGTTACTTTGAATCACAACTTACTTAACACTTTGTTTATGCAATATATTCGGTCGATTCGGGTTATAGAATATTATTGCCATTAACTGTAAGTTTTTTAACCACTATTCTGATATGAATAATGTGGTTTATAGGATCGTTC